GGACCCATGCTGGAGCAGTCCATTCCTGAAGGACTGCACCCCATGGAAGGGACCCATGCTGGAGCAGTTCGTGAAGAACTGCAGCCTGTGGGAAGGACTCACAATGAAGTTTGTGGAGGACTGTCTCCCGTGGGAGGGACCCCACGCTGGAGCAGAGGAACAGCATGTGTAGGAAGGAGTGGCAGAGACAAAGCATTGTGAACTGACTGCAACCCCCATTCCCCGTCCCCCTGTGCTGCTCGGGGGGGAGGGAGGAGGTAGAGAATTCGGGAGTGAAGTTGAGCCTGGGAAGAAGGGAGGGGTGGGGGGAAGGTTTTTTTTTTTAGATTTGTTCTTATTTCTCATTATCCTATTCTGATTTGATTGACAATAAATTAAACTAATTCCCCCAAGTCGAGTCTGTTTTGCCCATGACGGTAATTGCTGAGTGATCTCCCTGTCCTTATCTCAACCCACAAGCTTTTCGTCATATTTTGTTCCCCTGTCCTTGTGAGGAGGGGGAGTGGCAGAGTGGCTTGGTGGGCACCTGGCAGCTACCCAAAGTCAACCTGCCACACCCTCCTTCTTCACTGACCTTGGTGTTTGCAGGATTGTTTCTCACACTGGGTTTTTTTTTTCTTTTTTTTTTCCCCCTCACTCCTCTCTCTTACTCTGCTGCGCAGTGTTTTTTACCCTTTCTTAAATACGTTTTCACAGACGCACCACCAGCTTCGCTGATTGGCACATCTTTGGCCAGCAGTGGGTCCATTGCAGAGCCAACTGGAATTGGCTCTGTCTGGCACAGGCGCAGCCCCTGGTCTCTTCTCACAGAGGTTACCCCCGCAGCCCCCCCTACTACAAAAACCTTGCCACATAAACCCAATACAGATCTGTAGCACCTATGAGTGCTACAACTCAACTTATTCGTTTGTCTTTACCACTTGTTAGGGCACATGCATTGTGAACTACTTTATTTGGATGGAATTGAACTATGACTGTATCCAAGTCTCTTAAATCCAAAGCATCAATATTCAGGTATCCTCTCATCATAAAGCTTCTACAGTTTCCCAGCTCTTACTATTTATTGAAACTTTCGTTTAACCTGGGTTAATTTCTAGAAGGCAACAGTTGGATAATACAGCAGAAAAATGTTCAGTTGTAACTCCATGTTGTTGTTGTGTGTCCAGTTAAAAAAAAAAAAAAGCTACATTATTTGCTACCTTAATGCACCTTAGGAAAACTTAATATGAGTTGCCTACTCATAGTTTTTCGCCTTCTGTATCTCAAGTTCAGGTTTGTAGAAATGTTTCTACAAAAACATCTCATGAGATTATTAAATATTCATGCCTGCTATTTCTGATCTTTAGAAACATCAATGGATTCTAGGCTTCAAAGGATACATGCAGAAATTAAAAACTCACTCAAAATTGATAATCTAGTAAGTATATTTTGTTCATTGATGTATGTGTATAATTCAGGTAGGAAATATTTTTTGAATGCCTAGTTTGAAGTATGATTTATTAAACAATATATCTTGAGAAGTAAAGGAATTCTTTAATTTGTAAGACCTGGTTTGGGGAATTTCTTTCTTGATTACTCACCTGGTCTTCTCAGAGTGCCATCATGTGAAAAGTGTTGAAAGGGATTTGGCCTCTGACTTAGCACTTTAACTTCATGAACGCTATTTGTGTAATGAGAAACTACTAGTTTAAGTGATGAAGTCTTTCACAACAAACACTGAAGTGGCTTCTGCATTTAGCAGCATGAGAAGTAGTGAGCAGTTTCAACTCAGTCTAAGAGTTTGTGCTGTCATGCTAAAGAATAAAACATTTGTTTCTAGTACCGCCAACTCTTAAGTCTATAAAAATTTTCTGACTTCAAAGTAATTCATATTAAATTTAAAAATTTTCACCTCAGAAAAATGGTTCAGTTTAAATATTTTTCTGTCAGCTGAACTCCAGATAGTAAATCCACTTAAAATGTAAAAATACTTGAAATAAAAGCTCACAGAGATATACTTATTCTTGCCTGGATTAGAAGATTTTATAAGATTGGTTGTACAGCTAGAGCAAAGATGCTTTCATTGTTGTATTTATCACTGACTAAGGTTGGCAACTACAATATTCTACTGAGAGTAGTCCTGAATCCTTCTTTTTCTCTGCCAAGTACCCAGGTGGTTTCTACAACTTGAGTATCTTTGTATATAATTTGATGAGTGAAAATCTCACCTCTTTCAAGAGAGATCTAAGCAGTGTCTGACTTGCTTTTTTGCTAATTTCCCCCTAGAACAGGAAATAAAAACTCAACATCATTGCCTTCAATTTTATATTTTTGTCTTCTTAATGGGACTACCAAAGATTGTTAGCATTTAAACAAAGTCTTCAAATCAAACTTCTGTTTATATACAGGATGTGAACAGGTGTATTGAGGCTCTTGATGAGCTTGCTTCCCTTCAGGTCACAATGCAACAAGCTCAAAAACACACAGAGATGATTTTGACTCTAAAGAAGGTGAGTTTTGCAAATTCATTTAAGGTAACTTCAAAAGGGAAAAAAGGAAACTTTTTTTTTTAATTGGCATCAAGTTTATTTACTACTTTGGAGCATGTTTCACTTCAAGTCTAAACAATACAACGAGTTAAGAATTTCATATAGCACTTACTGAGATTAAGTAGATATGTGTATATATAAGTGGAGTTGACTGTTTTACCTTTTCATTTTCAGATACGGAAGTTCAAAGTTAGCCAAATTATCATGGAAAAATCTACAATGCTCTATAACAAGTTCAAGACCATGTTTCTAGTTGGAGAAGGAGATTCTGTTCTCTCACAGGTACTAAATAAATCACTTGCTGAGCAGAAGCAGCATGAGGAAACCAAAAAACCCAAAGAACATTGGAAGAAAGGTCCAACCAAAAAAACAGAAAAGGAAAAAGAACTAACAGGTAGGTGTTGGTGTATTTCATCTCACTCTCCCCAGGTGACTTCACTATAGTAGCACAGAGGCTGAAACGTTACCAGCTATGTTTGTGCTATATTTTTTAATGAACTTTATAGTACAGTAGGATTTATTTAGTAACTAATTACACTGCAGTTATCTTCCAAGTTGCATCATGGGAGTAGGGAAGGAAGATCAGTACTGAAGTCAATTCAGTTGGAGTACTTTTAGGAGTATAATAGCTGAATGAGCTTCCATAGTTAATATTTTATGTGGTGTTTTAAATAAAATAGTTCTTTCAGTTAGCCTCACAGTTCATTTTTAGTTTCTTGATTATATCCAATCTCCACTACTTTGTGAGCCAAGTTCAAGTCATTAAGGGATATATGAGTGGCTGCTTCCTCCTGCAGCTCTGGCCCAGGACTCCCTCCTGCTTAGACACTCTTGAAATATATGCTGATCACTTCAGATTAACTGTCATATACTTAATACTTCTCAAGTTAATTTTCCGATGTTCTTGAGTTTGTCTTGAAATGTGTTGTGAATTACCTTGAAACTGTAGCCTTCATCAATATTTTATATGCTTGCTCATTTTATTTAGATAATGCAATGTATGGAACTGAGGTATACTGAATTCTTAAAAGTCATCATAATATCTCTTCTTGCTTTTATATACAGCTGTCCTGGTTTCAGCTGGGATAGAGTTA